GGTCATCTCGGTCAGTCTACCCGTGGCACCTGGGTCTGCCCCGTGACCTCCTGCCAGCGGGCGTTCGACACTTCACGTGGCCTCAAGGTGCACATGGCCTGGCACAAGCGTCGTGGTAACGTCACCGCCACTTAGTGGCGAATGGCGGTTGTTGTTGTTATTGTGTGAGAGTCTATATGTGTGTGTGTATCTAGCCATGCGAGTGAGTGTGTGGGTCTGTATGTGTGTCTCTGTGTGTGTCTAGCCGTGCGAGTGTGTGTGTATGAATCTGTATGTGTGTGTCTGTGTGTGTGTCTAACCGTGCGAGTGAATGTATGTGTGAGTCTGTATGTGTGTGTGTGTGTTTGTGTGTGTGTGTCTAGCCGTGCGAGTGAGTGTGTGTGGGTCTGTATGTGTGTCTGTGTGTGTGTCTCGCCGTGCGAGAGTGTGTGTGTCTTTGTGAATCTGTATGTGTGTGTGTGTCTGTGTGTGTGTCTAGCCGTGCGAGTGTGTGTGTGTGTGTGAATCTGTATGTGTGTGTGTGGGTCTGTATGTATGTGTGTGTGTATGTGTGAGCAGGGAGTGTGTGTGTGTGTGAGTCTGTATGTGTGTGTGAGTCTGTATGTGTGTGTGTGAGTCTGTATGTGTGTGTGTGTATCTGTATGTGTGTGTGTGGGTCTGTATGTGTGTGTGTATGTGTGTGTGTGAGTCTGCACACACTCACACACTCCCTGCTCCCCCCCTCGCTCACGCGCCGCCGTCTCCCCGCGGGCAGGGACCTCACGCCAGGTGCTCGCGACACCGTGACTCACGTCTCCAGTTCTTTTTCTTTTTATTTCGACATCAAGTATGCTCCCCCAACACTCCTCCTCACCAACACTCCTACACAACAAACCAACGCTCCCAACCAACGCTCCTCCAAACCAACACTCCAAACCAACACTCCCAACCAACACTGCTAACCAACACTCCCAACCAACACTCCAAACCAACACTTCTAACCAACACTGCTAACCAACACTCCCAACCAACACTCCTAGCCAGGGCCGGATCAAGGCGTGGGGGCTTTAGGCACCCAGAGGCCTCCGCCAGCTGGAGGTCCTCCAGAGATTGAAGTGAAAGTTTTTTTATTTTGTGAATTCTGAATTATATTTTTTGTTAGCCTTGTCAAAAAATACAATTGCATTTTTCTTGAACTTTGTTTTCCTTTTGAAAACATGACTGGGGGCCTCACAGTAGCTGTAGCCCAGGTGCCTACACAATCTTAATCCGGCCCTGCTCCTAACCAACACTCGACAGCGCTGGCTAATTTAAAGCCACACACAAGGCAAAGACCCCCCGTATAGCCGAAGTATATATTTTTGGGCAAGTGCTGTTAGCGAGCACCTATGAAGGCCGGCACGGCACACGAGGGATGGCGAGCACCACGTCGTGGACGCCTTTGTCTCCCCGATGGCGATGATTACACACCGCTAATTTGAGGCTGAGTCGACCTAGGGGGTGGCTCAGAACCGGTTCCGATAATCGTCACTGGTGTTGGGCGTGAATCGAACTGAGGCCGCCAGGTGCGTAGCGCAGCGCGCTAACCGCTGCGCCACCGCTCCCCGCCACAGGACACAAGAAACAAAGCGAGATGAGAGCGGCGTTGTCAGAATAATTTCGGGAACAGAGTTCCATTTTGTTTCGGATGAAATTAATCACCGGCGCGATGAGAGCTCAGATGCAGGCACTGCCACGGAACGAGAGGTAAACAGCACTCGCCCCAACAGCACTTGCCCCAACAGTCCATTTAAGGCTATACGGGGGGGGATCTTCGTCTTTACCTGCGTGTGCGCTCTCCCCATCTCTTGTCGTTACCATCACGTGAAGGAACTTTCCTAACGGGAGCCGCTGTGCTCAGCCCACCTGTCAACCCCGCTCAGCCACCCACACCCTCCAGATCGGTCGCGTCGTGTCTCGCGTCTCTGTCCGCGATGTTGCCTTGCTGCGTGTTGGTTTTCTACATCTGTGTTCTTGTGCCAGTCGAAGGGGGGGACTGTGTTGATCGACGTGTTTTGAGTGTTGTGTGTTAGTTGTATTTGTTTGCGTTGTGTTCCCTTGTTTTACGCGGTGTTTGTAACAGTGTGTAATGTGTTGTTTTCTTGGAATGTTTATTTGGGTTTGCTTTAATAGCGCTGTGTTTTGTGTCTCTTGCTCAGTCGCTCAGTGGAGTTTGGGCGCTGTGCTTAATAACGGTGGTCGTGTGTTGGTCGTGCATTCGACGTTTCATGCATCACCCCCCCGAACTCGACTCATAACACACAAAGTCTGGCCACATCAACTCCTCTGGTGTGAAGGCGAGAGCCCAGGGACAGATGGAGCTCTCAGCACGCACACATAGAGACACACATAGAGACACATAGATACACCACACAGACACACATAGACACACATAGACACACAGAGACACACATAGAGACACACAGAGACACACAGAGACACATAGACACACATAGAGACACATAGACACACATAGAGACACATATGGACACACATAGACACACATAGACAGACATAGACACAAACACCGAGACGCACACATACATACATACACACACAGACGCACAGATACATATAGACATAGACACATACATCGACACGTACACACACGCACGTGTGTTATATGCACACACAGACACAGATCCCATGTGTTGCCTCGTACAGACCGCTGGAGCCAGCGCTGCGAGTGAGCACCTGGTCAAGTCGCACCTCTGCACGAGTGCTGATGTGGCTCACTGGCACATCGTGCTCAGACATTGAAGGCCGAGTCGACCTAGGGGTGGCACTCGCCACCGATTGTATCCGCGGCCAGGAATTGAGTTGCGCTCGAGGCGGCATCGCGTGTCAGTGGCACGAACCGCAGCGCCACCGCCACGCGCCGTTACCGGACTCGTTACAACCCGCACACACACAGGGGGCACACACACACAGACACACACACAGGGAGCACACAGACACACAGCCACACACACACACAGGGGGCACACACACAGGGGGCACACACACACACAGGGGGCACACACACAGACACACACACAGACACACAGGGGGCACACAGACACACACACAGGGAGCACATAGACACACAGGGAGCACACAGACACACAGCACACACACACACAGGGAGCACACAGACACACAGCACACACACACAGGGAGCACACAGACACACACACACACAGGGAGCACACACAGACAGCACACACAGACACACACACAGACACACACAGGGAGCACACACACACACAGACACAGGGAGCACACACACACAGGGAGCACACACACAGAGACACACACACAGACAGCACAGACACACAGACAGCACACACACAGAGAGCACACACACAGAGACACAGACACACACACAGACAGCACACACACAGGGAGCACACACAGACAGCACACAGACACAATATAAAAATAATCATTATTACGAGTGAGTCACTAATACAGTAGTGATTCTGTGGATGAGAGTTGGGGTTCTGATTAAGCAAATCAACTTGATGTTACATTTCACGAATTCTTTATTTGCTGATCCTGTTGCTGCTGCTGCTGCGTTGCCATCGCTGCGCAAGCTCAGTCAGCAACACGACGCTCAACACGCGCCGACTTAACAACAACAACACGGTGTGGCCATAACAGACGTTTCGGGCAACGACCCTTCTTCACGAAATGCACGGAGGGCGCTTTGTTGTTGTTGTAAATCTACTGCCGGATGGAGGGCCTCCTTGCCACCGCCCTGCCAGTCGGGGCGGATATTTGCCCATACTTCCCCACGGCGGGTGTGTGAGTGTCACGTCGCTGGCAGTAGAGGGCAGGGAGTACGTGGGGGGTGACTGCGGATATCGCCACCGCCACCGCGACATCTCACCTGGATGTCGTGCACCGGGCCAAGTTGGTCATTCGAGGGGAAATGGGATCGGTGACTGGTTCCGAGGTCACTCGCCACTGATGTTAGCCGTGGCCGGGAATTCAACTCAGGTGGCTGAAGTTGGTAGCGCAGTGCTCGGGTTCGTATCGCAGCATTCGCTCGCCTTTTGGCTTCCCTGCGTCGACGAGTAAGTCGGTTCATCGGGCAGACCCCTATGGTTGGTCATATTGCACCACGCCGGTCAATGCTCGACTCTTCCCTGGCTTCCCGTGATCGTCATCTATTACGCGCCAGCGACGGCGTACGTGGGGGAGGCCTTCATCCAGCAGTGAACAGAACACGACTTATCGTCAGCTAGCAATGTTATTGCGCTCCTGCACAGAGACACGACGCTTGATGTTATTGTCTATACGAGGAGGCGCTGATAGGAAGAGTTCGTTGAGCCATCTTCTCCATCCTCGTCTCTCTCTCTCTCTCTGTGACTCTCTCTGGCTCTGCTCAGACCGCTTGAGAGAACTGTGACTCACCACCTTGCCGATGCAGTTCCCTTGCTCACACACACACAAAGACAAAGATCTCCCGTATAGCCTTAACAGACTGTTGGGACAAGTGCTGTTAGCGAGTGCCTATGAAGGCCAGTTGGGCACACGAGTGGGTGGGTGACCAGCACCACGCCCGGTCGCCTTTGTCTCCCTCGTAGCGATGTTATTACACATCGGAGCAGGTACTCATTTGAGGCTGAGTCGACCTAGAGGAGGCCCAGGACCAGTTCAGATCATCGTCACTGGTGTCGGTCGTGAGCTGTAATCGAACTCGGGTCGCTGGGTTCGCGCTAACCGCTACACCACCGCTCCCACACACACACGCGCGCATCTCCACGCCGCGCACACACGCGCACGCCTCCACACGCGCCATCGCCAAGCGCTGCCTCGCCCCTTCACAAACCGGTTATGCCAGACGATCCGGAACAGTGGCAATTACACAGGAGGCGGTTGGTCTGGCTGAGGTGAGTGGTGGAGGATGGAGGGGGGGTGAAGTGAGTGGTAGGTGGAGGAGGATGGATGGAGGGGATGGAGGGGTTGGGTGAATGCCTTGTTATAACCGTACACGCACATGCACATACACACGCGCGCGCACTTACACACACACACGAGAGCGCACACGCGCGCGACAGCACAGGAACACAGATGCACGCGCGCCCTCTCTCCAGACGGACCAGCCTTGACTTGTCACGACCTGAAATATAGAGAATTGCTCTCGCCCATCGCTCACAGTCCTCATTCCTCGCCGACCGAGACGTTGTTCCTTGCGCCCCCCCCCCCCATCCCGCACACATCGTGCACGGGACGAAGAGTCGACGATCACGGGGAGCCGAGGAGGAGGAGGACCTCAGTTCGCATCCTGGTAAATATACGACGAGTGTGTGTACGTACGTTTGTGTGTGTGTACGTTTGTGTGTGTACGTTTGTGTGTGTGTACGATTGTGTGTGTGTACGATTGTGTGTGTGTACGTTTGTGTGTGTACGTTTGTGTGTGTGTGTGTACGTTTGCGTGTGTGTACGTTTGTGTGTGTTTACGCATATCTGAACGCGCGCGCGCACGCGTTTAGCTGAAGCGCACAGGATGACACGCGCATACGCACGTGTACATCGTTTGCATGTACGCACGTAGGCCTATGCACAATACACGCTCGTATACTTCTACTTGGTGCATATACCGAAGACATAAACACAATTACATACAGGCACGCACAAACACCGATACACACAACACACATGTATAACATAAAAAATACCCCGTATAGCCTTGAACACAGTGTTGGGGCAGGTGCTGTTAGCGAGCACCTATCAACGCCGGCACTGAGCACGAGGGAGCGGTTTGTGTGGTCATCACCACGCCCGGCCGCTTTTGTCTCTCCTTCCCAATGCTGGTGTTTACACGCACACCACACCAGGTACTAATAAAATTCAAGGCTGAGCCGACCTTGCGGGGTTCTATGACCGGTTCGGATAATCGCAAACTGTTATTTAGCCGGGTTCGTAACGCAGTGCGCTAACAGCAACGCCACCGCTCCCCCTACACACAGGCACGCACGTGCCGCGGTGGTTTATGCAACCAATGTGTGATGATGGTTCGTACCCACGTGTACACACACGTGTGTGGTGTGTGTACACACACGTGTGTGGTGTGTGTACACATCAATATGGGGCTCGGTGGCCACCCGCTGCAATCTCATGGGGAGTCTAAGATCGAGTCTCGTCCACGGACAACACCACTAACAACAACAGTAACAACACGTGGTGTCTGAACCGGCCCCTCGGCCGAAACGTCGACTCAGCATTAAATGAGCAAGCATCTGGCTCGTTAAGCGTGTCTTCACGGCGAGGCAGGGAAGCCAAAGGCCGAGTGAGCGCTGCGCTACGAACTAAACCAACCTCGGTTCGATTCCGGGCCCACGGCTAACATCAGCGGCGAGTGATAGCCGACCCTGACGATTTGGTCACGTGCAAGTCGCATTGGTACACGTACCGCACATACACGTGGACAAAATACGAATACCCCCCATAGCCTTAAACTGTTGGGGCAAGTGCTGTTAGCGAGCACCTATTAAGGCCGAGACGGCACGACAGAGGGGGTTGGGTGGCCAACACCACGCCCGGCCGCCTTTGTCTCCCCAGTGGCGATGTTAGTGAACACCCAAGAGGCCGAGACAACCCACCGCTCGTGTCACCCACAGAGACAACACAGGGGCACATCACACCCCGAGACTGTTGGAGCACGTGCTGTTCGCGGGTGGCTATAGTATCATACACGCACACACAAACTAAATCAAAAGGTATATCGCTCCATTAGGTCGACTCAGCCTTAAATGCGGAGCACCTTTGATGCGACGCAAACCACATCAGCACTGGGGAAGACAAAGGCGGGGGAGATCGTGCGAGCGAGCGTGGTTGCTGGACGTACCCCCCCCCCCCTCCATCTCGTGCGCCGTCGTGATCATAATAACAATAAGTGCTCGCAAACAGAACTTGACCCGGGACGATCCGTGCGGCTCTCTGCACAATGGGGGTTGGGGGGGGGGGCTCGGCTCGCTTTGTTCCGTTTTTGGGGGGGGGGGGGGGGTGGAACCGTGGGCCGCAGAGAGGGACGCGGCTCTGAGCTATGACAAACACGCGGGCGTGCGTGTCTCGACACGACCGCGTGTCGAGACAACGACCTCCACCACCACCTCCTCCTCCACCACTACCTTCTCCTCCTCCTCCTCCACCACCACCTCCATCTCCTCCTCGCTCGCAGGAGCCGTGGCACGTTCACGACTCCGGCGTTTCAGGCAGTCGGGAGGACGCAGCGACTCGGGGCTGCATAGGCGATACGGCTTCAATGTAGCCCCCCCCCCCCCATACATTTGCTCGGATTGGGGGGGGGTCTTAATGAAATCTACTTTTGATTTCGTCTGTGTGTGTGTGTAGCGGTCAGCGCGCTGCGCTATGAACCCGGTGACCCGGGCTCGATTGACGCTCACGGCCAACACCAGTGACGATTATCTGAACCGGTCCTGGGCCACCCCTAGGTCGACTCGGCCTCAAATGGGTACCTGGTGCCGTGTATAAACATCGCCACTAGGGAGATAAAGGCGGCCGAGCGTGGTGTTGGCCACCCAACTTCCTTGGCGTGCCGTCTCGGCCTTAATAGGTGCTCGCTAACAGCACTTGCCCCAACAGTTTAAGGTTACAGGGGGTATTTGTATTTTTTTCCATGTGTTTGTGCGGTACGTGTACCAATGTGACTTGCCTGTGACCAAATAGTCCTGTCCCGTTAGACCTGAGAAGCTCAGCAGGTCTGAGCCTGGATAAGTGCCTGGTTAGGATGAGCACTGGGCACAAAAAAAATAAACGAGTGCAGTAGGTAGTGTGGACAGTAGAGGGCAGTGCAGAAAATACTGCGAGGTATCATTGTTCTACACCAGCCCTTCCCACACATTCATTAACCCGCGGCTGACCAGCGCGTGGTCTCATACCTGTCAACCCCTTATCATTACAGACCGAACAATTCAGACCTCACTGGTCACCCCGCGACCCTTATAAATCTCAACGTTCATCCTACAAAGTTTCATCAAAAGGGAGAAACACAAACAAAGACATTTTTGCCCGTATGGACCTGCACAAGAATACGGGGTAAACCAATATGGGTTGACAGGTATGAAGTGTGGTCATACTACCCTCCACTGCCTGCACAGCACGGAGATGCCCTCATCCAGCAGTGGATTGACAAACGGGTTGTTCGTGTGCGTGTTTCGTTGTTATTCCTGTGTGTGGGGAGCGGTGGCGCATCGGTTAGCGCATCGCGTTACGAGTTAGATTCCAAGCCACGGCTCGCAACAGTGGCGAACGATATCCGAAACCGTATTGGACTATCCTATAGGTCGACTCGGCCTTAAATGAGTACCTGGTGTGGTTTGTAAACATCAGCACTGGGGAGACAAAGACGGCCCGGCGTGGTGCTGGCCATCCACCCCCTCGTGTACCGTCCCGGCCTTCATATATGTTCTCGCTCACAGCACTTGCCCCAAGAATCTATAAAAAACTGATACGGGGGTCATCTTTGTCTTGTTTTCTTAATTCTCAATGCTGTGATCTCACGCGCACGTGGCTTTCACGCATACACCGAACGCACGGGCACACAAAGACAAAGATCCCCCGTGTAGCCTACACAGACTGGTGGGGTCAAGTGCCGTGACGTCGCTCGAGGGGGTGGTGTGGTAAACACCACGCCAAACTGTCTGTCTCCCCAGTGCTGATGTTTACACATCGCACCAGATACTCATTTGAGGCTGAGTCAACCTAGGGGAGGGCCCAGCACCGATTCAGATAGAACCTACGTCTGTGGTTAGACGTGACTGGGAATTCAACCCAGTTACGCGAGTTCGTAGTGCAGTGCGCTAACTATTGCACCACCGCTCGCCATACAGATACAAGTGGTGTATGTGAGCGCGCAACTATGTGATTGTGCGTGTGTAAGTGTCGAGTCGTGTGACAGTGGTTAGCGCACTGCGCTACGAACATTGGGGGGACAAACGCGGCCGAGTGTGGTGCTGGCCACCCGATGCCTCCGTGCGTGTGCTACACTTTTCGGTGTTCGCTAACAGAACTTTTCCTGACATTCTGTTAAAGATTCTAGATTTGCAGCTTTCGTGACTGCAAGGATTCATACTCTTAAGTTTTTTTCGGTAAAGTCACGTAGGGATTTTTTAAAATGTATTCTTTTATTTCTATTATTATTTCTATAAATTGTATTATTTATTTCTTTACCTACGTGACTTTACCGAAAAAACCTAAGAGTATTCTGTTAAAGACTATATGGAGTGGAGGTCTTTGTCTTTATGTGTGTGCACATGGGGAGGAGGGGAGGGGTGCTACCTTTGTGTGCGCGTGTGTGTGTTGTAGATCCATTCCAATCGCACATGGATGAGTGTAATCACAATAGTCAACACCACCAAACACAAATAGGCGTGCTTAGCATAGCCAGTTTGTGGGGAAGAGGAACGAGTTTGGGAGGGATGGGGGGGGGGGCGCTTAGGGGCCAACACCGGTGACGATTTTTTTTAACCGGTTCTGGGCCTCCCCTAGGTCGACTCGGCCTCAAATGAGTACCTGGTGCGGTGTGTTAAAATCGCCACGAAGGAGACGAAGGCGGTCGGGCGTGGTGCTGGCCACCTCGTGTGCCGGGCCGGCCTTCGTAGGTGCTCGCTAAGACCACTTGCCCCACCAGTCTGTTAAGGCTACACGGGGGAACCTTGTCTTTGGGGGTGGGGGGGATAGGGTGATTGTTTTGTTTTACCGGTTACCGATTGGGAGAACCCGATAAAATTTGGAACAATTCACGTGGCTCCGATGTGAATGATCGAGTTTCGCTGGAGTCGTATTCTTTTTAAAATAATGCCAACAACCAAAAGCGACCAGCAACAAATAGCACCCTTGCGACGTTGATAGATACTACGCCTGGACACGTGGTCTTGAGCTAAGCGCGATGCTGTTATAGGAAGAGTTGGGGGGGGAGAGACGACGACGACGATGATGGTGGTGGTGGTGGAGAGGGAATTTCACAAAAGGTTGAGCAGTGCGAGTTAAGAAGCGGAGAGAGAAATGAGGTTGCAGTGTGGTCGAGTGGGTGAGTATGTGATTGAGTGGGTAGGTGAGTAGGTGTGTGGGTGATTGGGTGAGTAGGTGGGTGAGTAGGTGAATGATTGAGTGGGTAGGTGAATAGGTGGGTGAGTCGGTGGGTGAAATATGTGTGTCGTTGCGACCTGCGCAGTGTGGAACTTCAACACAGCCGATGTAAGCACACTACCTGAGCACATTGGCACAGGACAGAGAGGATAGTGGAAACAAATTGACGAAGCATGCAGTGGACACCTGCTACGGACTATCTTCCCCCATGGATCGTGATGACGATGGGTTACAGCCCCCCCCCCCCCCACGTCCCGTCCGTCGCAATAAATTCGACGAGCTACATTTTGCATTTGGCACCGTGGCGTCACTTCAGTGGTGGGGCACGCGCCTCTTGCCAGCGGTGTCACGCGCCTCTTTGGCAGGCGGCAACAGCAGAGGGCGCCGCGAACGCCAAAACGCTGACGGCGACGTGAGGAGCGGGGGGGGGACAGGTGAGAGTAGCCCTGAGTGGTGGGAAGCCGCCTCGTTGCTCGTGGCTGCCTCGTTGGTTAGGGTTAGGGGTACAGCTGGCACTTGCGTCCGATTGGCTAGCTGGCTCGGGGTAGAACTAGTAGCTGATTGGCTAGTTAGTTATGGTTAGGGATTTTGCTAATACCAAGTTCGCAGTGTCTGGCTGCAGGCTGGTTGGTTCGGGCTACAGGTGTAGTGACTGACTCGGACACGAAGAGTAGGAGGCACCCTGTTTATTAACACGGCCTGACAGTAACACTTAGTAACTATAGTTCCCAGTGAGGACAGCCGGTAGACTGCCTGACTGGCGACGCCGAGACGGTGAAGACTCCAGCAGCAAGCGACGGTGACCCCCCCCCCACTCCACACGACAGCCCCGAGCTCCCCTCCCGGGGCCCCTCTTATACTGTCACGTGGCCTGGCTCCGCCCCCAGCCACCGCCCCCTTCTGGAACCTACTAGCGGGTTCTCGACGTGCCCCTTCCGTGACCCTTCACCTCGATCCCTCTCTGGTCTGTCACGTGACCTGCTGTCAGTCGGGGCTGCTGCAAGCTGCAGATCCTCTTCCCTGCCAGCAGCCGGCGCTATGCTGCTACGTGACCCATTCTATGTCACTACACAGGTAGAGCGCGTTCCAAGTTGTCTCTGGCTGCGGGCTAGTTTGTTAGGGTTACAGGTATAGCTAGTAACACGCTTGCAGTGTCTGGCTGCAGGCTAGTTGGTTAGGTGTTGGAGGGGGGGGGGGGTGTAGAGATATGGGGGATAGCATCTCGCTTGCACTGGGAGCGTGCCTCTGCCCACCAAAGTCAAAAATCCCCCGTGTAGCCTCAACAGACTGTTGGGGAAAGTGCTGTTAGCGAGCGCCTCATGAAGGCCGGCACAGCGCACGAGGGGGTGGAGTGGCCAGCACCGCGCCAGGCTGCCTTTGTCTCCCCAGTGGCGATGTTTGCACCGCACCGGGTACTCATTTGAGGCTGAGCTGAACTAGTGGAGACCCCAGGACCGGATCAGATCATCGTCACCAATGTTGGCGGCCGCGAGCGGGAATCGAACTTGGGTCGCCGGGTTCGCAGCGTAGCGCTAACCGCCGCACCACCGCTCCCACCACCACCACCACGAGCAGCAGCAGCACCACCACCCAGGTGTCGTGACGTCACGGTACCGGGATGCGACGTGAGGACGCAGCGTGCGCCGTGACGTCACGGCGCAGGGCCCAGCCCGGGCCGGGTGAAACCGGTTCCTGGCACAACACGCGCGGCGCCCAGGTTACCGGATAACAGTTTCGCAGCAGAATGCCCAGGGCTTAAATTCTCACCAGATAATAATTTAATAATAATGATAATCGGGCATTATACGCGCGCTTCACTTATTCATCCACGAAAGCCACGCGGAGTCTTTGGTGCTCATTTTCAGGAGCGTCCTGCCGCTGCGTTGTGATTTTATTAACGTGTTTTTATTTTACGAAGATGTTTTCGAGCCGATGAATGATGAGTTGTGTTTATAATGCAAGGTGGGGAGCAAACCGGATAGAACCCACGCCTTGCGCGAGGGGGCAATGCTCTATGGAATAAACCGGTGGCGATCAGTTCACTCGCTGTGCCGCCTTCTCCTGGCGAGCCAGGGTACGGTCACCTCCTCGACGTCCATGGGAAGGGCTTTTCGCGACGTGTGTGCGACTATCCACCAACCCTCGCTGCCACAGGCCACGTGCAGCGTAGCCACCACCGCCGCCGCCCGGCAAAAAATTCTCACCGAATAATTCGCCGGTAGAAAATGACCGTAGTGGCCACGACCTATACAGCGAGAGGAGTACTGGATGTCGCGTGGCGGGTCACTGGATATTTTTGCTGGTCGCTGACCCCTGTCGAATTAAGAACCTGGCAGTTCCCTTCATGTTGCGGGGAGGCTTGGTATGTTGTGATAGTATGAAATTTGGTTGAGTGGTGGTACAGCGGTTAGCACGCTGCGCTTTGGACCCATCGATCCCGAGTTCAATTTCTCGTCACGGCTAACATCGGTGGCGAGTGATATATGAACTTGTCTTTGTGTCCTAGGTCTCCCCTTTACCCCATACCCCGGCCTCTAATTCAAATACTATGCTGACCAGCGTGGTGAAGTATTGTCAAACAAACCCCCATGATCTACACGGGGTGGGGAGGCCTTCATCCAGCTGTGGAGTGACAAACGGGCCCGCACGTGAAACTCGCGTGTCTCTCCGCAAGCGAAATATTTGGGGAATTAATTTGGATGACGTCACGGAGAAATGTGTGCCCGCCAGGTAGTAACTCAGAAGCACCCGGCTGCCGTCTCGTTCCACTGGGGTCGGGAGGCACTCACCTGGCGCCCATACCCACTCAGCCCTGTCCCGTTATGACTGCCTCTTACATCATAAGCAGCAGCAGCAGCTCTGATCTATCCACTGCTGGATGAAGGCCTCCGCAAACGCGTCGCAATCTCTAGCGGTCTCGCTATGCTGACTTCACAAACTCTGTTGCTGCTAATAGGGTTTTTTCCCTTTTTTTCTGGCAACAAAACTGACCTTTTGCAAGGAATCATGCTTACATTAACCACAATACTTGCAGTCAAATGCAAACAAAAAACAATACTCTGATAATTCATGCATTGTCCTTGAAACTGATTGGTCCACACCAGAGACAGCTTTCTTTAGAGCCTAGTCTCATGGTGCTCGACCAGATGACGCTAAAAGGCGCACTTTTGGCGTCATCTGGTTAATGTAAGCATGATTCCTTGCAAAAGGTGTTCAGTTTTGTTGCCAGAAAAAGGCGGAAAACCCTATTAGTATATTTTGGTACTGGCAAAGGAGGTCCCATGATGTCTGCTGCTGCTGTTGTTGTCTTTTTCCAGCAGACGCACGCGCTGTGCGGCAGTGGTGGTGGAGGAGGCGGTAGAGGTGGTGGTGGAGAAGGTGGAGGAGGAGGTGGACACGTGCACGCTCGCCCTCCTCGCTCGCTCGTCGTTGCCGTCGTCACCGTCATGTCGGAGTCTCGCGCCTCCGTGGCGCACGCCGCCCTCTCGCGCTCCAGCAGCGTCCCCGTGGGCGCGCGGACGCTCAATGGGAGCTCGCGCGGGCACGGGGCCCAGGGCGGCGGGCCGCTGGCCTCCGGGGCGGGGCCCGCCGGGGCCCACCCGGCGGGGAGCCACCCCCTGCTGACGGGGGGCCTCGGCGCGGCCGACAGGGAGAGGGGGGCCGCCCCTGCGGCGGCGGGGGAGAGCTTCAGCGAGGTCCTCCGGCGGCTGCTGGACGCGCACGAGAGGGAGGTGCAAGGTAGGGGTCGTCGTTATCATCTACCCAGCTGTGCTGTCGTAGTCACGGTTACCGTCATCGTTGTCATCGCCTGGTTTGACGTCGTTATTGTCACCATCATATAATCGGCGTCTCTTCTGTTATCGTCATCTGTCGTCGTCGTCATGATTGTCGCCATCATCATCAATGGTATCATCAACACTCGCATCATCAATATTATCATCATCATCATAATCAATACTAGCATTGTCATCAATACTGCCATGATCAATACTGCCATCATCATCACCATCAATAGCATCGTCACTGCTATCCTCATCGTTGTCGTAGTCAACGCTAGGATGATGATGATGATTATCACCCTCTCTCTCCGCCGTGCAGGGCTGACGCAGCAGCTGTCCAAGCTGAAGCAGGAGCGCTGCATGTGAGTAGCGCGAACCCCGTCCACATCCCGACAAACTCGACATGCGCCACTTGGTTCACACGAGTCGTTCGTAGATTCATCTTCGTCGTCATCGTCACCAGCCGTGGTCAATCTGCTGCTGGATGAAGGCCCTCCACAAGCCGTACTCCGTTTCTCTGACGCGATGAAAATGCCCAGAACCTCCACGCCATCTGTTTTCATCGCTCCATCTCCACTGTGAACGTCCCCTAGGGCACGTCGCCTCCTTTGGCTGACGCTCCGTCGTTAGCCTCGACCACCCCCGCACCTCAGATTTAGCACGGTTGCCGACGTACGGTGCGAAAGAAGTTCCAACATACACACACACATCTACATACCGTCCATCATCCCTTCTGGCCGTGACGCTTCCGGGCCGAGCCCGGCTCACGTTTCTTAACCCTTGCAATGACGTCGCTGTCGATCTGCCTCATCTTCTCTCTCGTCAACGTTTGCTCCTCCTCCTTCCGTCTCTCAATTCCGAGCGAGCGCCTCCCTTGTCCGAGCGCCGCTGACTGACGGAGCCGAATGCGCCGCCAAGAAGGCTCCGGGCCACGTGTTTTGTCAAGAGTTGGCAACTCGTCGCGGCGTGGAACGCGCGTTTCAAAATAACCCGCAGGGTGGTGGCGACCGTTCCCGCGACGGGCTGTCGGCAGCGGCACTTTCAGGGCCTTTGATGATAGGGGGAAAAAAATCCCTCAATGAAATGTGGTGGCGCGCACGTGTCCATGTGTGTACCGTTGCGTGTGTGTCTCCAGGTGAGTTGGGTGTCTACAGGTGTGTGTCTAGGGGGAGGGGTGGTGCAGCTGTTAGCGCGCTGCGCTACGCACCCAGCGACCCGAGTTTGATTCCCGCTCACGGCCAACACCAGCAGTGACCATTATCTGAATCGGTCCTGGGCCTCCCTTAGGTCGACTTAGCCTCAAACAAGTACCTGGTGAGGTGTGTAAACATCGCCGCTAGGGAGACAAAGGCGGTCGGGCGTGGTGTTGGCCACCCACCTCCTAGTGTGCTGTGCAGGCATTAATAGGTGCTCGCTAACAGCACTTGCCCCGACAGTCTGTTCAGGCTATACGGGGATCTTTGTGTGTGTCCACAGGTGAGTGGCTTGTGTGTCCAGCAGTCTGTGTGTGTGTTGGCGTATGTGTCTACAGGTGTGTGTGTCTACAGGTGTGTGGGTGTGTGTGTATCTATAGGTGTGCGTGTGTGTATCTACAGGTGTGTGTGTGTCTACAGGTGTGTGTCTACAGGTGTGTGTGTCTACAGGTGTGTGTCTACAGGTGTGCGTGTGTATATCTACAGGTGTGTGTGTCTACAGGTGTGCGTGTGTCTACAGGTGTATGTGTGTCTACAGGTGTGTGCGTGTGTGTATCTACAGCTGAGTGGCTTGCGTGTCCGGCCGTCCGTGTACGCGCGCTCCGAGAGAGAGAGAGCGCGAGTCGAGCCGTAAGAGTGGCTAGGGTAGAGAGCTTCCCCACTCCACCACAAATCTAAAAAGTGACTCGGCACATTCAATAAAGGACACAGAAAGCCCCTTTCTTCTTAATCATCTCCAACAACCCCCACCACCCCCACTCAGATCGGCTTACGAAGCTCTCAGCAAATCGCATTCCGTAGAGGGGGGGGGGTGTTTGGCGGGGGGGGGCCCTTAAAAAAGAAAACCTTTGTTTGGTGGCTCTGACCGACTGGGACATACCTCTCTGCGTCTCCCCCCTCTTAGGGGGGGGGGGGGGTCTCGTGTTTGTTCTACGCGGCAACGAGTGGCACTCGCTGAGCGCGGGGCGGGCAAGCCACTGGGCAGCCGCTGTCGACTTTATCTCTCCAGAGTCAGGCCGCAGCTGTCAACCCACACGGTGTATTACCCCGTCTTCTTGTGCAGGGAAATTGAGCTTTCAGCAGGTCCATACGGCGTACAGCCGTTTCAATACGGGCGAAAAGAAAATCCAACGTGTCTATTTGTTTGAGTTTCTCCCTTGTGATGGGACTTTGTAGGATGTACGCTGAGATGTATAAGGAGCACGAGGTGACCAATGGGGTCTGAATTGGTCTGTAATAAGTTAGGGCACTGATAAGGGGTTGACAGGTATGGTATATTGTAGTGTATAATGTAGTGCGTAGTGTAGTGTAGAGGATGAACGCTGAGATTTATAAGGAGCACGAGGTGACCAATGAGGTCTGAATTGGTCTAATAAGGTAGGGCACTGATAAGGGGTTGACAGGTATGAATGAGGTAGACACTGATAAGGGGTTGACAGGTATGAATGAGGTAGACACTGATAAGGGGTTGACAGGTTTGCGAGTCCAACTGCGGCGTTCACACGACCACCGGGGAAGCGATCTGGACTCGACCCCCTTGTTGTTGGCCTCATAGACAAACGGCACTTGCCCCCAGCAGTCTATTAAAGGCTACATGGAGGATGTTTGTCTTTGTTAAGGCTATACGGGGAACCTTTATCTTTGTATGTATGTATGTGGGGAGCGGTGGCGTAGTGTTTAGCGCGCTGCGCTACGAAAACCGGCGAAACCATGTTCGAATCTCGTGCATGGCCGGTATCCATGAGGACCGGTGCTGGGCCTCCCCTTGGTCGACTCAGTATTAAATGAGTACCTGGTGCGGTGAGAGGCAAATGCGTCCAGGCGTGGTGCTGTCCACCCCCCAACCCCCCCCGGTATGTCGTCCCGGCCTTCAGAAGTGCCACTCGCTCACCGCAGCACTTGCCCCAGGAGCCTGCTGAGGCTACGCAGGGTGAGGGGGGTGGGGTCGGTCTTGTGTGCTTCAAATCGTTGCACTGCAGTCGCTGCGTGTCGGAAGTGACTTATGCCATTGGCATTGCCCTGAGCTTAGAGGCTCCTACAGACATCACATCATCATCATCACCGCCGCCTCCCTCCTCCTCCGCCCATTGCTCAGCCCTTTGGAATTCCGTGGCGGGCGGGCGACGCGTGAAGTGTCCCGTGGACGAACGACGCAACGATTTGCAATGTTGCCAGCGTGACGACGTCGTGTTGTGATGCGCGCCACGGTTAGTCGATCCGCGGGTGGGTGGGGCAAAGTGTGGGTGCCCATGTTCCAAGACATCGGCGTCGGTCTGTCTGCCTTGGCCAGTGTGGAAGAGGAGGCGAGACTCTCTTTCTCTCTCTCTCTCTGGCGGAGTTGGCTCGGGTGGAGTCCCCTTCCGCCAGCGGTGGCTCGAACGAGGGGGATTGCGGGGCTGCGCCTTTGCCTTGACTACAACGCCCGCGCGCGGCAAACGTGAACGCACGACAGCAAGTTCACGACTGTGGACGGGCAATCCACTGCCAGAGCGGATGCCTGCCCATGTCATGGGAGGGAACGGGGGTGGGGAGGAGGGTTGTGTTCGACCATACTTCACCACGCGCGGTCAGCGTGCGCGTCGGTGAGGACAGACGGCAGTGAGGGGGGTGCATCCACGATCGGTTCATTCGGCGGTGGTCGGTAATCGAATGAAACGCCGAGCGAGATGAGTGCAGCAACCGCCGCGCCGCGGCGACACCCGCAGCTGATCGAGAGTAAGAGTCTCCGACACCACCGGCGTCTTGGCACCCACCCGTGGTTTACATGGTTAGACCCTGGGGCAGGGGTCTAACCACTGAATGCTACAGTGCGCATTAGAGCCCACACGCTAGCGCTGCACATTAGCGGCGGCACGCTAGCTCCCACACACTAGCGCCCACAAGCTAGCGCTGCACATTAGTGCCCACACACTAGCGCCTGCATGCCAGCACCCGCATGTTAGTGCCCACAAGCTAGCGCCGCACGCTAGCGCTGCACATTAGCGGCGGCACGCTAGTGACCACAAGCTAGCGCCAGCACAAACCTCGCTCAGCGTTATTCGATAATAACTCGGGGGGGGGGGGGATAATTCGAGGCTCTCGCTTTGAATCGAGTGGCGGAGTGAAATCATAAACGCGGTGCTATTGCCAGGTTGTTATAAATTCCTCCTCCCCTATAGGTGCCCGATTTTAGCCTGGCTAAGATGCGCCGATTTCATCCGATGTCTGTTTCCGTTACGCGTCAAAACCGTGCCAAGGTTGTGTAAAATGGAGAGTTCATTGAAATAATCGTCATGGTGATAATTATCATTGAGTATATTTGGTGCTTGCGCTATTGTTCTTATAGCGCAGGGCTAATTGGAGTACAGGAAGGCGCTGCTGTGTTCCACGCAGGCGCACGGTCTGCAGTAATTTCTCAGTCGGGGGCGATGTTGCTGCTGCTGCGTGCTGATCCCCGGTGGAGTGGTTTGTGGTTTCGTGGTTTCATCTCAGATTTGGCAACAAATTGGACCATAACGGCGGGGCGCACGAAGCGCCTTGCTCTCTCTGAACGAGGGTCTACGAGGTCTTTGCCCGTCCACTCAACGGACGGTGCCGTGCGTGCGTGCGTGTTCACTCAGGCTGGAGAAGGTGTTCACTGCCAATCAGCAGCTGAGGGAGCAGCAGAAGCTTCTCAATGAGAACATCAAGGTGCTGGAGGACAGGTGAGGAGGACTTGAGCAGCGCTGGCTACCGTTAAGTCGACGAATCGACAAAAAATTGGAATCGATACTTTGGTTTGGTCGATTACTTAAAAATGGGATGCCCCCAACATCCTGCCTCCCGAAGGTGGGAAACCCCCGACAAGCCACGCCTAGCGTGATATGTCTGGTGACACCATAGATGTGACCCGCCCACCGCCCCCCACTGAACCCCGCGTCTCCGGCAGGCTCCGTGCTGGCGTGTGCGATCGCTGCATCGTGACGGAGGAGCACATGCGGCGCAAGCAGGTGGAGTTCGAGAGCGTCCGGCAGCAGAACCTCAAGCTCATCACGGAGCTCAGTGCGTGCAGCGCACACCACACCGCCACCACGATCGTCTCCACCGCCACCACCACCATACCCATCGTCACAACCACTACCAAAACCATGATTGCCACCACTACCATAACCATAATCATCACCACCACCATAGCTATCGTCACAACCATCACCATAGCCATCATAAAATCACCACCACCATACCCATCGTCACAACCACCACCAAAACCATCACTGCCACCACCACCATAACCATAATCATCACCACTACCATAGCCGCCATCACGACCACCATAGCCATCATCGCAACCACCACCAAAACCATTAATGCCACCACCATAATCATCACCACCACCATAACCATCATCACAACCATCACCACCATAGGCACGATGCAATCATCCCCCCCTACTGGCAAATGCATGTCTGTGCAGGCTGTCATCGTTGTCGTCGTTTGTTGCTTCGCGTCCGAGCTTCCGACGGTTTGTGTCCGATGATTCAGAAAAGCAAACTCGACACACTCCGTCACCAACACCTGTGTGCACGTGGCCTTAAAATGAAGCGTCAGTAATCGGTGACGTTTTGACCATTGGCCCTTCCTCATAGCACAGACATGGCCTGATGTACGTTGGTCTCTTTATCGATTTTTTTCTGTTAAGACCGCACGGTGAAGTCGCCGAATGTGTTGATAAATTTTATGGAGACGACTAAATCATTCCCAGGAAGCTTTCGGGGGATCCCTGCGTGTGCGTGATGTTTGCCTCCTGGTCGTTTCTGCCTGGGCTGTGCACAGTTAATGAGAGGAACGCCCTCACGGAGGAGAACCGCTCGCTGAAGGACACGCTTGAGGCAGTCAGACGCTCGCCCAGGTGAGCAGGGCACGGGCGCCACCACCACCACGGCACCATCACGGAACCGCTGCCACCACCAGAACCACGGCCACCACCACCAACGCACCATCACGGCACCACTACCACCACCACGGCACCATCACGGCACCACCACCACGGCACCACCACCACGGCACCACCACCACCACGGCACCACCACCACCACGGCACCATCGTGACACCACCACCGCACCACCACGTTGTAACGCGGAGTTGTGACGTGCGGTGGTCCCAGCGCCCTCCCGGGGCCGCAGGCCGAGGCAGTGCTGGAGCGGAGCGGCGAGCCGCACGGCGCGGCGCTGCGCGCGGAGCGTGGCGGCGGTGCCACGAGCGGTGGCGGTGGTGGCGGCGGTGGCGGCGGTGGCGCGGCAGGCTCGTGCGTGGTGTCGTGCGGGCGCACCGGAGCGCCGCCCTGCTTCAAGGCGCCGGCGAACCACTCCAGAGGTGAGCGCCACTCGCGGAAATCGACGACGACGATAATAGTAATAACGAGAGCGTCGTAGCGCAGCGTGTCCCAGACGTAATGGACAACCCGAGTCGTGCTCCGTGGCGCGGCACACGGTCATTGTGACCTCGGCCGCTGTCGGGACCTCGGCCGCTGTCGGGAACACGATTTGTCGTGAGTATCGTCGCCCTTTTTCGCCCAGGAAAGGTGCCGCAGAGTCTCAAGACGCCTTCTCACGAGGGTCGTGCGACGTTTTCGCAGCGGCGGCACGATTAGGTACTGCACGTGTTCCGATTGAGCGGCATGCGGTGCTGCATCGCCGTTGTCTCTGCCTTTTGTTCACTTTGGCGTGAGGTAGTCAACATCTCACCGCTGTGGCGAGGTGTTGACTACCTCGCCTGGTGTACAAGAGGCCGTGGGTTCGATCCCGACCCCTGATACCTGCTGTATATTTGGAGTTTGCTTGTTCTCCCCGTGGTTGTGTGGATTTTTCTCCCCGGGTCCTCCGGATTTTCCCTCCATTTAAAAACGCGCGTTTCGAGTATTTGGCTGCTATAAATGTGCACGCGATGACAAGCCACTTGGTTGAGCTGTCATTTGTGATAGCCAGGTCGCTTGTGAATAAGAGCTACATAGCCCAGTGAGCATTACACCTGATACAATAAAATAAAATAGTTTCGTGTTTAGTTTTTTTAACGTTGACCTCTGTGGAGCCGACTGTGGTACATCCTGTATAGTGGAGTCTCACAAGTCACCCGTGGGCCGCCAAAACCACCAGGACCGTTCGCTTCGTGAAGAAGCTTTTGCACAACGCGACAATCTCAGTCGGTTGGGTCCTGGAGGGTGCCTCGCTGCAGAAAATTTCCCCTCCGATTGGAAATTGATGTGGCTCACACCCCCCCCCCCCCCCCCCCACAATGTCAACGATGAAGCGAATAGAAATGGGAGCAAAAACAACCGAGAGGAGAGCTCGTGCGTGACAAGGCTGCTTCGGTCGCAAGTTATCGTAACGGGCGGTGGTGGAGTGAGCGATGGGATGACGATGAGATGACGATGGTGACGATGATGATTTCGCGTAGCAACTAAAAAGTGGAGGTTCGGTAAAATGGTTTGTTACTCGCGACGTCGTTGAGACCGCTAGCGGGGGTTACCGGGCTGATTAGTAATAAAGTAGCGTGTTTATTGCTCGGCGCGCAGACTCGAGCACAGCCGGACTGTTGTTGCGAGCGGAGTTTGACGCTTGGGGACTTGATTGTTGGATCTAAAGTTGGAGGGGAGAACGAAGTGAAAAGCGGCGGTGGTGGTGATGATGATCAGTGGTGTGCGGTCTAAGAGGTCGCCACACTTTAAGCGCCCGAGGGAACGCGCGCGTGGCTGAACAGATGAGTTTAGAACGCACGGACAAACGCGCGCACGCCAAGGCGCACTGGTCTTTTTGGACTATTGGGGCAAGTGCAGTAAGCGAGCGCACAAATCCACACAGATAAAGACAAAGGGACCCACACACACACACTCCCGCGTGCGCATAGCCCCACACGTACACGCAGGCACGTACCCATATACAAAGGCGGGACACTTACTGTACACACGCAGAGACATACACACACACGCGCGCGCACAGGCACACACACGCTGAAATACACGCACACGCAGACACGTACCCACCCACACACACGGACACGCGCGCAGACATGCACACACACGAGCAGACGAACTCCGCCTTCCGCTCTCTCGCTCGCTCGGCACGAGCCGCACCTGGAGCCATGGCCAGAAACCGCAGAGGGGAAACGCACGGGGGGGGCAGTGTGCGCGCGTGTGTGTGTATGTGTGTATGTGTGCGGGTGTGTGTGCGTGAGAATGAGGCTCGTGAAGGACGCTGCTACTGGGCAGTTGGAGGCAGTCGCTCTCCAGCAACAACGGAAGGCAGAGGGAGCGACGCTCACAACAACGAGCGGAGCGCCGGGCGGCTAAGATGCAGAAAGTTGGCACAGTAGGGAGCACGGCTGGTGCATCTGCCAGTCTTCTCAGTCACCTGCTGGGTCTGTCCCAAGACCCCCTGTCAGTGAGCCTTTGACGCTTCACTTGGCCTCAAAGTGCACCTGGCTTGGCACAGGTGCCGTGGTGACGTCACGGTCGCTTAGTGGCGAATGGCGGCGGGTATTGGTGTGAAGACGACTCCGACGCACTTGCCTTGAAATGGTTCATGTTATTAAGGAGCCACGTTGCTCACACTTGGACAGGCGGAGACCCCCCCCCCCCACCCCCCCACCCCCCCACCCCCCCCACTGCAACATCCCCGAGTCTCCCGCGCATCTACCCCTGATATACGATGTGAGGCCACGCCCCCATTCCCGAACCTTCTCGCTGGTTCTAGACCTGGCCACGCTCCTATTCTCGATCATTCCCGTGGTCACCAGTCCATTGGTACTGCAGGCTGACTCCGCTGTCATTACCTCCCGAGGCCACCAGTCCATCCGTACTGCAGGCTGACTCCCCTGTCATTACCTCCCGTGGCCACTAGTCCATTCGTACTGCAGGCTGACTCCTCTGCCATTACCTCCCGTGGCCACCAGTCCACTCACTCCGTCGGTTGATATAATTTGGGTCTTTCGGTAAAGTCACGTAGATAGGTTCAAAGAAAATTACAACAAACTACGACGTCTCAAACAGTGTTAGACCAGAGGACGCCAAAAGGCGAACAGCACAAAGGCAATGGCACTATCCGGACATTGAGAGCCCCGTATAGCCTCTACAGACTGTTGGGGCAAGTGGCCGTGAGCGAGCAGCAGCACTGCGGCACACGAGGGGATGGGTGGGTGGCCAGCACCACGCCCGGCCCCCCCATGCACTCGCTCAAACATTCAGACACACACTTAGCACCAACTCACCAAATTACAAGTCGGTCGGTAATTGCCATCGGGATTAAATCTCTCACACCTATACAGCTTAACTGTGCACACAGGTATGCCCACACACAAAGACAAAGATCCCCCGTATAGCCTGGAACACACTGTTGGGGCAAGTACTGTTAGCGAGCACCAATAAAGGCTAGAACGATAACACACGGGGGTGTGGCCAGCACCACGCCCGGCCGCCTTTGTCTCCCTCGTGGTGATGTTTACACACCGCACCAGGTACTCACACACACACATACAAAGTTCCCCCGTATAGCCTTGAACAGACTTTTTGGGGCAAATTATCCTTATGGCGGCACCCCGGGGTACCAAATAATTCAAAACTCCCGAGGCAATAAGATATGTTATTTCTGGGACACTATTCTTTCTAGGGGTGTACTTAACGCTGCGACTGGGGTACCAATCAATCCGGAATCGGTGCCACTCCTCGATGTCGAAACGCAGCGAGGACGATTGCGTCGAAACCCTGAGCGCTCGCGGTACACACCGTAGTGGTGCATCGTGTACAGCTCGTCGAGATGAGTCGATTGCCGCGTCGCCGACCATCAGCAGGCTAAAAGTGACTGCATCACGGACATTGTGCGAGAGCCGGGGTGCCGCCATCAGGTTCAAGTGCTGTCAACGAGCAAACATTGACACAAAGACAAAGATCCCCCTAATTTGACACACACACAGACACACAGACACACAACAACAACAACAGACACACACACACAGACACACAAAGACACACAGACACACAAAGACACACAGACACACACACACAAAGACACACAGACACACACACACAAAGACACACACACAAAGACACAACAACAACAACAACCGCCATTCGCCACTAAGTGGCGGTGACGTCACCACGATGCTTGTGCCAGGCCAAGTGCACCTTGAGGCCACGTGAAGTGTCGAAAGCCCGCTGGCAGGAGGTCACGGGGCAGACCCAGCAGGTGCCACGGGTCGACTGACCGAGATGACCGAGATGACTGGCTGATGCACCACCTGTGCCCCCTACTGTGCCAACTTGCTGTGCTTTAGCAAAGACACACACACACAGACACACACACAAAGACCCCCCGTGTAGCATATACACGGCTGAGGAGGCAAGTGCTGTCAACGAGCACCTATTTAGGCCGGCACGGTGCATATAGGTGTGGTATGGCCAAAGACAAAGATCCCCGTATAGCCTTAACAGACTGTTGGGGCAAGTGCTGTCAGCGAGTAGCAGCACCTATAAAGACCAGTACAGTGGCACACGAGAGGGGTGGGTGGCCAGCACCACGCACAAACGCACGCACGCACACATGCATACACACAGACACGCGCGCGCGCACATTCACAGGAAAGTGAATGGGATTAGGAATCGCTGGGGTTCGCATGAGCCGACACGCATTCTCGTGGGCGGAATGCGATGTGCGGAGGGGGTGGTGGGGTGGTGACATTTCAGCTGAGATGTCTCCGTCCGTGTGTGTGTCTCTCTCTCTCTCTTGGATTTTTGTTCTCTTTTTCCCATCGAGGCCACGTTGCCGATTGCAGCCGCATTGTGGCCATAGGTCACGATAATTCTTATTTTGCTGGTGAGCCTACCCGCAGCGGTCCGTGTGTAGTTACGTGCAGGTCTCGTATCCTTAATTATCCACCCTTATTAACTCCATCTCTCTCTATATATATACACACTACAAAGAGTCATTGCCCGAAACGTCGTCTATTTTATATATACTGCAATTTCATTTCAAGGCCACGGTGTTATTGATGTATGTGAGTGTTAATTGTGCTTGTGCACCACTGACAATGCAGCAGCAGCATCATCGCCAGATGACATTTTGTTGTATAGAATTAGCGCTAAGGGCGTACGGATGGGTTTTTATTAGAATGCCAAAAGTTGATGATGATAATGATGAAACCATCATTTTGCGGAAGTCTCCAAATTTGGTGCTGGTTTGGGGTTGGAGTGATGTTAGGGCTGGAGTTTAGTATTGACCAGAATCAAGAAAAATCTGATTTTATATTGGTAATCATCAGTCCCTTGCCAATTCACTACTGGCGTAAGACCTCCCGATGCCGTGTCGGTCGCCTGTGTTGTTTGA